GATTTTTCTATCTGTTTATTTTCTTGGAATCTATCAAATCTTTCACTCACTCATTCACTCTCATTTCTCGATCATCTCTCTTGTTCTGCAACACTAACAATGGCTCTCAGACCCATCGACAACGCTCTCCCAACAACAACACCAGAGAGACCCAAAAAGCAACCCAAGATCGCTGTTGCAACCCAAAAGCAGCAAGATCGTGCTGCTGTCGTCAATGGCGAAAACCAAGTTCCCTTGCCCTCATCAGGGGATACCACTGTTGACTATGTCTCCTCGGACAACCTTAAACCCTTGTCCGATCCCGAAGTTCAGATTCAGGTTTGCGTGTGTTCTTCTTTCCCCCGCTGTGCGATTAAAGATTTGGAATTCAATCTATTCGGATTATTTTATCTGAAACATAAAAATGTTTGGAAATGCAGAGTTTGATTGAAGATTTGAATTCGAAAAATTGGACCAAAGTTTGTGAGTCTCTGAACAATGCTAGGCGATTTGCGGTGTTCCACTCACCCCTTCTATTCCCTATTTTGTAAGGGATATTTTATGCTCTTTTCTTTGTTTAAATTTATATGTTTTTTTTTAAGTTTTGAGCTTTGACTGTTGGGGCAATTGATTTTCGAGGAATTAATGAGATGATGTCGTGGGCAGGGGAAATATTGTGTTGGTGGTGACGAAGACAATGAAGAACCCTCGTAGTGCCCTTTGCAAAACCGCAATTATGGCAGCTGCTGATATTTTCAACGCCTTTGGTGACAATTTTCCACAGGCGAATAAGGCGATAAACAGATAGAAAAATCGGAAATTTGGGAGTGAAAGCGTGACCCAGTGGAAAATAATTGATGGGTTTGAACAGGGGTGATGGTTCTCTCAGACTATATTTTGCGGTTTTTGAAGTTTGGAGATTTCGAAAGAGGTGAGGTTAGGGTTAGAATTGAGAAGGCAGAGAGAGATTGGGAAAAAAAGGAAGGTGGAATTGAAAGGGTGGAAGAAGGAGGAAGAGAAGGAGGAGAAGGAGAAGGTGGTGATGAGAAGGAACGCCATGGGCATATGGGAGGAAGAGAGTTGGGACAGAGGTTGAAGATTGCCATGTAGAGTGCCACGTCAACAAAAAATGTACAGCTCATCAGTTTTCTGCCAGCTGGGCAGCTGTGCCGTTAGTTTTTTAACGCCGTAACCAAAAAGGACTAACTTGCACCGTTTTTGCGAAAAGTGGGATCTTAGTGAACTTTTGAAAAAAAGTAGGACCAATTTGAACATACCCTACGAAAAGAGGGACCAAAATACGAATTAAACCTTTTTTTATAATAGCAACAAATAAAAAAATAACTTTTATCGTAATTATTAATATAAATTTTTCATTAAATTTTATGAAAGTATATTCATAAAAATAATTATAAAATAAATATTTTAATAATTTTATTATCAACAATTTTTTATTCATAAATAATTAAGTAAACTTAAAAAACAATTACAACATGTAAAATATAAAATAATAAAATAAAATATATTGGTAAAGACATAATTGATAACAAAATAATATATTAATACTAAAAACCGCAAATACATAATAATTATAATAGGAGATCTTTTTTTATTAATAGTCATAGATAATTTACAATTATTATGCATGATATTAACTTATTTAATAATTCTCTTAACTAAAAATATCAGGACTTATCTCAATTTTGATTAACTAAAAATATTTATTAATGTTATAAATACTAAATCTTTCACAAGATAAAGAAACAGAATACTATAAATACTGTAATAAAGCACATGCGAGGGAAAGAAATCTAATTAGTATATGCAAGATTTGATTTTTCGTGTGTTAGACTCAAATCCACGGATTCGAGTACCCTGACGTTCCTAACACACCGCTTTGTTACCTTGAATCTCACGAACACATTGTGTTCCTTCCCACCCCAACAACCCACGCAAAAACCTTAAATCGCACGCTGGAACTGAAACCCCTTTTAATTTTTTCGCCTTAGATTAAACCTCAAAAGGGTCGCATTCAATTTAATTTTTCATGTGAATCATCAAAACAATGTCTGGATTGGAGGAATTGAGGAAAAAGCTTGCACCTTTATTCGACGCCGAGAAGGGTTTCTCGTCAAGTTCAACCTTGGATCCCTGTGATTCTTACACAGTAACCCTCTCTCTCACTGCTGTTCAGTTTGTATTGAAATGGGTATCAATGGTTTTGTCTAATTTCGTTCTTTTTTTGGTTATTGTGTTTTTGGGTTTTGGTTGATTGGTTCAATTGAGAAGTTTTCGGATGGTGGAACAGTGAACTTGTTGAGTAGATCATATGGGGTTTACAATATCAACGAACTTGGGTTGCAGAAGTGCACATCATCAAGGTCTTTGGATGAAACTGATCACAGTGAGAAAACGTATAAGTGTGCTTCCCAAGAAATGAGGATATTTGGAGCAATTGGTAGTGGTGCCAGTAGTGTTGTGCAGAGAGCCATGCATATACCGACACATAGGATTCTGGCATTGAAGAAGATCAATATCTTTGAGAAGGTAGGTAGTATTATTCCTGCCATTGATTCTTGTGGTGTTTCACTGCAAAACTCATGTGGGTTACTTGTTTAGAATTTTACACTGATTGTGCTTGAAAATTGAACTCTCTTTACAATTGCTAAAAAAGCATGCATTGTTGTAAGCAATACATCTGTTATCCAGCTGTCTAAATGTGGTATTATATTGATGCAGGGTTGGATAGTACACTCTTGATCTTTGTTTTCAAAACAGTTGACACTTTGTTTTGGCAATAGTTGTTGTTATCAGCTGTTTGCTTAATGTCTGTAATTGTTTGTGCCAATTAGGAGAAAAGGCAGCAGCTCCTTACTGAGATAAGGACATTGTGTGAAGCACCTTGTTATGAGGGTCTTGTAGAATTTCACGGAGCATTTTACACCCCAGATTCCGGGCAGATAAGCATAGCTTTGGAGTATATGGATGGAGGATCACTTGCAGATATCTTGAGAATGCATAGAAGGATACCAGAACCTATTCTATCCTTCATGTTTCAGAAGCTACTACATGTAAGGAAAACAATCTTGTATTTGTGGTTTTTGCTTTCAGAAAACACTAGGATATGTGACTCTTGACCTTTTATCTTTTGGAAGGGTCTAAGCTATCTGCATGGAGTAAGACATCTTGTTCACAGAGACATAAAGCCTGCCAATCTATTAGTAAATTTGAAAGGAGAGCCAAAAATTACTGACTTTGGTATTAGTGCCGGCTTAGAGAATTCAGTGGCAATGGTTAGTATATTCTATCTGTCTCAGTATGTTGTCATGTATTGCTTCCATAAAATTGTTTTCAATGTCAATAATTTCATTGTCTGGTTGTTATTACAACCGTGTTGTGAAGTTCATGTTCATAAAAAGGAAAATTGCTCCTTTGCAGTGTGCTACTTTTGTTGGAACTGTTACATACATGTCACCTGAGAGGATTCGAAATGAAAGCTATTCTTATCCGGCTGATATTTGGAGCCTTGGGCTTGCTCTTTTAGAGTGTGGGACTGGAGAATTCCCATATACAGCTAATGAAGGCCCTGTCAATCTTATGTTGCAGGTGTGTGTGCAATACATACTGAAGTTATTTGTTTTCTTTTGTTTGATTGAACGTAAATGTTTGTCTGAGAAGAATATCTTCGATTGCCATTTTATTTTCATGTCTTTTTCTTATCACTTGTGTAAAAGCTTGTCACCTGAGATAATGACATTAATCACTCAAAAGGAAACAATGTGTATATAATTTAGCTTTGTAATAATGCAATAGATTTGGGACATATGTGATGATTCATACCATGAGTTGTAAGGCATACAATGTAATCAATGATAAAGAAATATGTCCTAACCCTGTATGAATGGCCATTCCGTTTCAGTAATCTGATTTCATGCATGTATTTCTTCTCGCTGCAATTAATTGTACTTAATTTTGTGACAGATTCTGGATGATCCATCACCATCACCATCAAAAAACAAGTTTTCACCAGAATTCTGCTCCTTTGTTGATGCTTGCCTGCAAAAGGATCCAGACACTAGGCCAACAGCAGAGCAGGTGAGAGAAATGAGATAAACATTAATGTTATTAACCATATTGTCTAGCATTTGTGCTATGCAATTTTGTGGCTGTTGATGCTGAATGTTTTGTAACACTTCACCTAAAACACAAATATGTTGGTGATCATGCATTTTTTTTACTCTATGAAATTTGCATATTTTCCTTGTGCAGAGTAGATTGTTTTCTTGAGAATGTTATACAGCTTACCAAGTCAATCTTATCTTGAGACACTTCATTGGATATATTGTTATGCTTGAAGTTGATGATTCTGTGTTGTCCTAATGCAGCTGCTTTTGCACCCTTTTATCAAAAAGTATGAGAATGACAAGGTAGATTTAGCCGGATTTGTTCGAAGCGTATTCGATCCTACACAAAGAATGAAGGACTTGGCAGACGTAAGTGGCTGCCAATTTCTATCTTTAGATTATTTAAACTGGCATGCTTATGTCAACATTTTAGAGAATTAGAGATGCTGCAATTTTTCACTTTGCATTTTTCCTCTCCAGATGTTGACAATACATTACTACTTGCTATTTGATGGACCTGATGATCTGTGGCAACATACAAGAAACTTATATAGTGAAAGCTCGATTTTCAGGTGTGTACTGTCTTCTATGTTTTATTTGTGCATCAAGAAAATGTTACTTGTAACACTTTACTCTCCTTTTACCATGATTGAAAAAAAAAAAAAAAAAAAAACAGAATATTTGCATGAAAGCAACTTGCTGCTGTAAGAGTAGCAGTTTGTATTAACTTACCTATGTTATGCATATGAAAATGATTTAGAATATTAAAAGAAATGGATGATGACATTTTATAAACTTGGTTCCAAGGTTTTTGAAAACCTTAACCACTAACAACATTATACTTGTACTTTTTGTAGTTTCTCTGGAAAACAACATTGTGGTCCAAGTAACATCTTTACATCTCTATCAAGTATTAGAGCCACACTGGTTGGTGAGTGGCCTCCTGAAAAGTTGGTGCATGTTGTTGAGAAGCTTCAATGCCGTGCTCATGGTGAAGATGGAGTGGCAATCAGAGTTTCAGGATCTTTTATAATTGGAAACCAGTTCCTCATATGTGGAGATGGCATTCAAGTAGAGGGGTTGCCAAACTTCAAGGATCTTGGAATTGATATTGCTACCAAAAGAATGGGCACATTTCATGAACAATTCTTAGTGGAACCAACAGGTCTTATAGGATGCTATTCCATTGTGAAACAAGAGCTATACATTAATCAGTAATGTTATATTAAGTTGTGCTGTGTTACTCAGAATTTAACACGCATCACACGAAGTGTCTTGGTTTTCAGAGAATCGTGTTCTCTCACGTGTAAAGTATACAAATTTTCTTGTATCTATGTTCTGAAAAATTGTTGATAGTGATATGAATTCGTTTAAATGGAATGTGTTCTCGTGTTTCCGCTAATGTAGAACTTCCTCTCCACCTTTTTTTAGTTTTAGTAGAATGATTTACTTAGTTATGCGATGTTTCGTGTATAAAATATTTATTATTATGACTGAAAAAACACATTTTTATTTGATAAAATTTTAAACCATTACTTTAGTCTTTATATATAAGGTAATTTTTTTTATTCTAGCATTGTAATTTTTTATGCGGATGTCATTTTAAATCAATGAACGACAGATTTTTGAATACCATATTTTTAATCAAGTATTTAATATTCCTCCAAATTAGATTAACAGACTAATATGTGCTATATAAAATCCCTAAAATAAAATACGGGATGATCTTAATTTTATTGAAGTTTTTCTTAAAATAAAGGTCAAATTCAAATCCTTATTAACTTTTCAATTTTTGAAAACATTCCTTAAATTTCTAGAACTGTCAAAATTATTGAAGTTTCTGGATAATTACCAAATTTTTTCCAATCATATCATTAACAACATACATTAAATGAAATTTTATTAAGAATGAGTGTACACGTTGAGAATAAATGCTCCTCGCTATTCTTAATAACTAGAAACAAGACTGCTTGCCTTGAGTGCGTG